TAAGGCCCCAGGCCATGTATTAAGCGCTATCGCCGCCTAGCCCCGCTACGACCGCCCACCTCGGGAGTGGTGCGTGGCTGGCATAACGTGTGAAATCAGCTAGGTTGATTGCCGTATCAACCGATAGAACGACTGACATCTCCAGAAAACTTGTTTGTACGTGCCTCTTTCCCAAGCCAGCCTCCTTCACTGCTAGTGGGAAAGAGGGTTTTGTTAACGGCCTTGTCGACGGTTTTTCTCAGTTTTTTCTCCACTGTCGTTCCACTTCGCATCTCTATACTCAGTTTCAATCGCCATAATACCCCCTTATTGAGCCCGACTTTTGCCTTTAATAATTACGAGTATCGCAGGGGGATTCCACGAGTCAGACAACACCAAGGAGTAAGCCGAAGATGGGCGAGGGCACGCTCTCCCAATTTTGGCGGACTGCGTTCACTCTGCTTAAGGTTGACTTTTTCATTTGAAGATGATCCCCTGCGATTGGCAATCGCGATGCTCTACCTGACGGTGTTGAAAGGGATCTGGATAGATCGATCATTTGCTAGAGCAATTCCGATGCGACAAGGAGACAGCACTGTGGCATCTCCAAAGACTTGTGAAGATCCGAAAATATAGAGTTTGGATCCCACATGCCTTGAGCCCGAATCAGCTCCAAACACGATCTGACATCGTCATGTTCAAGTCGACTTACTATGGATTCTACGATTGACCATCCATCACATTTGCCGAAGATGAGGAGTGGTACAGTGTGCTAACAAATGAACAAGCGGCGGTAGTCCAGCTCAAACGCTTCGGGAGTTCTTACTGCTAAGTTCAACCTCGTCCAAGTAGGGCCTTCTCGGATTTTTGGTGGAACACGAGAGGAGTTAAGCTCTGGAAACCCCTACGTGTAGATGTCGCAGTCAACGCGAAAGTCAACTATCCACAGCTCGAATGCAACGCTTTTAATACGAAAGAAAAACAAGGCAAAGTTTGCTTTTTTATGACACCGTTGAACCACCTCTTGCTAAGAAAATCCAGGAAAATTTTGGGACTCTCGGACGGAGTTCTTTTTTAACCTTATAGCCCTGACCTCGTGCAAAGGATGCCCACCTGCTTCCTCTCTCCAGACCACTCCTAGAGAAGAAATCTCATCCTAACCATCATGATGTCAAAATCGACATCTGATCTTTCTTCGATCAGAATTCAACGGAGTCCTACAAGGAGAGGCATCGAACAGCTTCTAGTGCGTTGGCAATAGGTTGTAGATATTGATGGTGTGTGCTATGCTGGATTAATGGAACAAAAATATCGTAAAAATGTTTCACAAGAATGCTGGGTTGTGAACAAAACTTTCGCCCCAGGCGGGACTAGAACCCGCACCTCTCGCTTTCCGGGCAAGTGCGCTACCAGTTACGCTACCGGGGCACCATTTCATTCCAACTCAGCTTTTCATGGTATACGTACCATAGCTTTCAGCACTCACACGTATAACGTGTTGAGCCGGTTAGCCGATATCGGCAATGACCGCGAGGCTGAAAGCTTTAGCATGATTTTTGACTTGCACTTGCCCGGAAAGCGAGAGGTGCGGGTTCTAGTCCCGCCTGGGGCGAAAGTTTTGTTCACAACCCAGCATTCTTGTGAAACATTCTTATAATAAAAATATTAAAATCAAAGATGAGCCGGTCTGTTGCAAGAGTTATGGACCAACCTAATATCTCCATGGTCCATTTTACCAAGTATTTAGCAGAGGTTGTTGAAGTAGCCAGCAGAGCATTGCAAAATTGTTCAAAGGCTGTGACCTGCTTTTGCTTGCGCTGTTCTTTTAGTTCTATCGTGGGGTTGTGTAAATACATTTATGTCACTGCAATTTTGTCGCTGTAATGTTTCTGAAACTGTTTACAAGACAGCGTTCATGGTAGGCGACTCCGTTGCAGTCCGCAATTTCTCGAGTAAGACCAGATGCGAATCGATCTGTGCTGCCTGGTAGTTTGCGAATTGCTTATTTGCTAATGCCTCACGAATACCACGTGGTTTGGCTTCGATCTGTTGTAATGAGATTTATCATTGACTATGGGTGCACGCGATCACACGGGCTCATGACAGAACAGATTCAAAGAAAGATTTACTTGAAGAATCAAAGACAGAAGGCAAAACAAGAATCGTGTCCAATTATTGATCGAATGACAAAGCGTCCCATGACAGTGTGTTGCGATATAACGAGTGTACAAATAATGAATTTTATATTCGACCCACTACTTATGTACGAAGCCTGCCTAATTGGACCACACCATATACGTTTTCCATCAAGATATGTTTCAGGCTGGAGAAATTCGAAGAGCAAGGTTATTTAATCAAAATCAAGACGCCGAAAACGCAGGAGGTCGAAATCGCGCGACTCCCCCGAAACTGAATAGAGTTCGTCAGGTTAGTTTCCTGCACCATTTGTGGCTATGCGTAAATCACATTTCTTCGATTTCATATGTAGTTATTTAAACTGGATTATCTGATTCCGATGTGTATTTTTGAGCATATGCTTAAATAGCTGTGTTCTTTCAAGTAATTCATTTTGTTGGGAATTGTGCGCTAGCTCGTACTCTTGTGAACATTCCGGCTCTTGCCTTTTTTTTTCGAGTGAGGTCCTGCTATTTTTTTTAATACCGACACCTATGAGCCACCAATGGTTGTGAAATTCTGCTATTCTAATGTTTAGTGGCCAGTTGATGCCAAGTTTTGTGGTTTGTGTTTTATCCATTCCACTTGTAAGCCATCGAAGACCCAGGGCACCAATAGTAAATAGTAAGAAAGTACAGATAACGTGACCAGGATAAGACCGGGGGAAGGGAGAGGTAAATAGTGAGCGCAGGAAAGTAGCTAGTGCTCAATATAAGCCTACACAAGCGCAAGGAGGAAACCTTGGAAACCAGCCGATGGAAATTCACAATAGTAATCGATAATGTACAACTTTCTTCATATGACCCATTCCCAAGTCTGTAAGTTGCTCCCCTCATTCTGGTTCCTGATTCGGAACTGTATTCTCTTTGCTTCAAAGCGTGAGCAAATCTCGATTACATCCTTGCAAACAGTGCTTCACCATGTGCAGCACGTGGCCATACAGGGATAGATAGATGTGCTATACCATGTGCAATGGGTCGATGGCGTTAAGCGGGAAAACCTGTGGAAAATAAGTTAAAGGGCTAGCGTGTCCAGAAGATGATGATTGTGGGAAACCCTAACAGGTGGTTTGGTTCACAAGTTGTGCAGCTTCACTGAAGTCACTATTGGGTTGGAGCATAATATCGTAGCGCTTGCATTTTTCATTTTTTCACACAAACATTTGAAGCAAAAAATAAAAACATAAAACTAATCAGTGATGTTCACTTCGTCATTATTTACAACTTTGATTGCATTTCGCAGGAGATCACCGGATATAGAATTTAAAAAATATTGAGCTCGTTTTCGGAGTCCTTATTATTCTCAATTTGTACGAAATGAATATGGTTTAATTTGAGCGAAAAAGGTAGGATCGTTTAGAGCAAGGTTCGATTAGAACAATGGATTCAAAAGAACTTCCAAGCTGGCGTTTTTTCTTCTTTATTTAACCGAGGAATAGCAGCTGTCGAAACGCCGATTTTCGCCTGGATTTTTCAACTTCTAAGCTCTATACCTGAGTACAGCTACAAGTGTTGAAGAAAATGACAACACGGTTTTGTAGAGCGGGAAGAGTACTTTCAAATAGTATTAGTGACTTTTAAGGTGATGCTACTGATTGAATTTATACGCTTAAAAAAACGCTACGATATTATGCTACAACCCAATACTGAACGCGCGCAGTAGCGCGGAGCCAAACTGGTTTCTAATAAAAAGTCGTTTCAGTGATTGAAGGCAAATGTTTCATGTAGACTGTATCGACCACAGTCGCACCTTAGATGAGAACGAAAACAAACCTTACTTCGATATCGCAAAGAATTTCGGATATTGTTGTACATAGCATTACTTTTGCAGCAGCACAGTTTGCGAGCAATAACTAGGATCAATGAGATGGGTCCTTCAGCTGAGATTTCGCGGACAGAACGATCTCCATCCTCAAGGTTCTCTTTTACCTTTACTTAGTCTTGATAGCCCATAATTCTTTTCCTTTAGAAAGCAGCGGAGTGATTCAGTCACGAAGCAACCATTAGGATCGAATAGTGGCAACATACGTAACGTGACATCGACCACACCTCCCACCAATGCTCTACCTGCATGTCCGTCTCCTACTTCATCCAATACAAATAGGAATGATCTTCATGATAAAGAATACAGCTCTGTCTACAGTAAGCCGATTTTCCTTGATTTTTCTTTCCAGATGATAGAATTCTTTGACGAATGATCGGAGCGTACATGGTTTCTGTTGTTGTTCGTCATTTTTCATTCAGCTTCACTTTTCTTTCCGTGCTGTAGTGATACTGCATTCATTTGTTTTTCAGAGGATTTATTTCTGTGCGTGAAGTCGTTTGCTCTTATTGAAGAGGCTATTGGGTCTTATCGTTGGAGTGCGGCTAAAAAAATTCTAGGTATGCTCTCTTAATTGAGAGATATTGATTTTTCTAAGTAAACTTTTGTTCAGATCTTGTTCCACCGTGGATGGCCGATTTGCCAATAGCTCTGCACATGCGAGCGCGAATAGCCTTTGAGTTAACCGAATATAATTGTGCTAAAGATATCCTTCAAAAGTTACGGAGATTGTATCCACATCGGACAGAGGTAGACTTCCTCACTTCTTCTCTTTTTTTTCACCCTTCCAAAAATGATCGATTGTAGGGGATGGAGTTGCTGTCAACAGCATTGTGGCATCTTCAAGATGCTCATGAGCTATCGTCATTGGCGCAGCATTTGACGACCGAGGCCCGGTCAAGACCGCAGACTTGGTGTGTTGCCGGAAACTGTTTCTCTCTGCAAAGACAGGTGATTGTTGATTATAGTTCCTCAGCGCTACATGTGTTTTGGAGGCTCTTTTGTTTAGCATGCAAAAGCGGTGGATTGTATGGAACGCGCAATACAGCTGGATCCATACTTTGCATATGCTTACACTTTGCTGGGACATGAGCTCATTTTTCAAGAGGAATACGACCGAGCTGCGAACGCATTCAGGTGTGTAAGTGTAAGGACGTTGACAGATGTTCCTTATCTTGTAACTTTGAAACGATCATCATTGCTACTGTTAAATTATTTAAAGACGAGCGTTGGAAATTTCTCCCAAGGATTATCGAGCTTGGCATGGACTTGGTCTGGTTCATCTTCGTAAGGAACAAATGGGTCTTGCTCAGGTACAGAAGTTTTGAAAACGTCTCATGCTCTAAATATTGCACAGCTTAGGTGAAGTCAAAGAGAATCACACCTGTGGCTCTTGACGGGAAATCATTAAAAATTAAATTTGTGGTAGTAGACGAGTGGCGAAGAAAAAGCTTTATTGCGCGCACTGGACAACATTTTACGAGATCTACCGCCATCCTCGTGGCCCATTCTAGCTCTGCCAGATAAGTCCAACGCGAGGGCTGAGACAGTAGAAGAGGAGGCGCTAAAGCTTTATAAGGGTGGGTGAATTCTTATCACGTCGCCATTGGCGTTCTTTCCCGCAGGCCCAGCCTTTCTTCAAGTTGAGCAGGTATCCCTTTTGTCAACATCTTACTTTCGTGCCACCTGCCTTCGAAGGCAGCTCTGGGGATAAATTGCCTCTGTTTCCTGTTTAAAACTCAAAGTAGGATCCTAAATGGTTACTGTGGTGAAAAATTAGAAGAAACTTCCAAAAACTCGATGAACGGGGGGGGACTCTTTTAAAGTCTAGTAATCTAGAGAGTTGACGGGCCAACCGCTAAATACAGGTCATCCCAATTAGATAATAGGTGAACTCGACGATCGATAATCCTCACCCTACTAACGATAACTCTGATCTAACCCCAACCCTAGGGTAAGGTTAGAATAGGGTTGGGTGGGGGTTATGGCGTTACTTAATTTCGTTAGGAAGTATTGGACAAAGATTGTTATTCATAGTAGTGGAATAAATGTAAGAATCGAGTAGAAGATTCTTCTTTTTGGCTTTTTTAGTTTCCAACTTTCTTTATTTAGGTCAATATCTCTAAAGCTGTCACAATTAATCCAACCAACCGAGCGATGCTTTGTCAATTGGCGCAAATAGAGCAAGCACTAAATCGCCCTGAAAGAGCGATGCGACTAATTGATAGGGTAGGTTTTTCCCTGCTTTCCTTCCCATTACGGCTTGAATTGCTGGCGTATTATTGTTTTCATGGAACTATAGGCTCTGGCTCTGGACCCTGACGACGTTGCTTGTCGATACAATAGGGCTCGACTACTTTTCGACACGAAACATAACGAGGAGTGCGTTAAGGAGCTCAATGAGCTCAAAGAAGTTTCACCCGATGAGGCGTATATCTACCACTTATTGGGTAATTCTGTTCGGTTTCGTTTTTTATATGGTGTTTATATGAAATTAATCTTATGCTTTTAAGGGAAGGTTCATAGGCGATTGGGAAATAATCATTTGGCGCTGTTGAACTATAGCTGGGCCACAGAAATGGATCCGAGAGGGGAGCAAATGTTAGGTCATGCGGGAGAAAGATCGTACGATGATGACGATCCGTCTCCAACTGCGAGTTAGGTGAGAGTCAAGCTTTTTTTTCATTATGATGTGCTAGATGTTTTCATTGAATAACGTATAATTTTTACAAATTTGGAATCTAGAATATTACGGAATGTCGCAGTACAGTGGATTTGTCCTCCTAAAACTGGTGCCGGAGTCCGCGATCTTTCGCGCGATTCGCTGGAATTGCAAGTGCCCCATTTGAACATTTGAAACACTGAATATGAAACAAGTAGAATCAAACAGTCGTCATTCAACCATCACCATCAAGCAGAAATGGCGGCGGGATTGGAGAGCACCTCGCAGTATTGATCGGGCTTGTGATTTCTGTGATTCGTCGCCGGGCGGATCGCGGTCTCCGACACCAGCCTAGTTGTTCCAGTTTTTTTTTGCAGTTGGCTAAAATCGGCTCTTGTTGTGGACAAAAACCGCCAAAGACTGCATTTCCTCTCGATATGCTTTCTAATCTCTGGTGCACTATGCATTTAAATGGGCATTCTATCTCGCATAAAGATGCATGGTTAAAGGATAAGGGATAAAGCATTTGCCGTTGATCAATCCCTTTTTGGGATGCGGCACGCATTCTACTTCCATTTGTACATTCGTAGTGGCGTTTGAATGCGATGTGGCCTATACAATGACTTGCGGGGGCCAGCCGATGTACAAGTCAGTGTTTTTATCCTCCCAGACAAGTCTGGTACCAATTAACCGACCCCGGAGGGATGGAAGGCTTGGTTGGCACGACCCAGGATTTGATCCCCGGACCGCTCGCGTGGTAAGCGTGCCACTTGCCACTACACCACTTCCGCCCAGGTGCATGATTGTTCGGTATGAATGAGTGCTTTTTTCCCTCAAACCCACCTACATGGGCGGAATGGCAAATGCTTCATCCTTTTATCCTTCCACCCACCTAAATTCAAATTCTAAACGCCACGTGATGCGCACGCAAACATGACACATCCCCACAGGAGGCTGCGATGCGCTGCTAACTATGCCGAGTTAATGAAGAGTCGATCATGGTCTATTCTGAGTATAGAAAGCTACTTGAAGTGCATGAGAACTGATATGCGCTCGTCTACTCTATCTTATTATAGGGCGCATCCAAGTTGCGCGCACGGCGTCGGCACGCCGACGCAAAAAGTGCTAAGCGTCGACTCTACCATCCCCTCAACTCTCATAGCGCCCGAAACAAGGAGGCTTAGCTGCTATGTTCGAGCCTATCCAACTATTTCATTGACCACGGCGTTTATAGGTTAATGTATGGTCTACGGAATAAATACAAACAACTTGGGAAGAGCACATGCGCTAGAAAAAGGGGTTAAGGCCGATGTCAGACTTTGCGAATCGCGCGATTCGCTAGCGTCCGCGGTCGCGTTGCGGTACCAGCCAATTGAGTGATTCACTGGCCGCGACGCGACCGCAGACGCTAGCGAATCGCGCGATTCGCAAAGTCTGACATCGGCCTAAGGTGAGACGTGTAACCGCGTCACACTGTCGCAATGTTTAAAGGAATCCTTTACGGAAAAATCATGATTCTATTTCAGCCATAAATCACTGGCTTGAGACTCATTATCCACGATAAGAATGAAAAGAACAGAAATATTGCTTTGTTTTGGTAAAAAATTCGAAAAATCGAAAGGGCTGCTACGCGTTCAAAGTGCCCACGGACGTCTTTCACAAATGCTGGCGACGGGGATGCTTCCACTTGGTCTTGGAGTGCCTTCACTAGAAACTCTCGCCTTCTGCTTTATTGCATTCACATCTTATACCTTCTTACCCAGCGCTTGGCAAGCCCCGCGTGCATCGCCGGGTATGCACGTCGAAACTCCCACATCTGACATTTGTGCATCGCCGGGTATGCACATCTGTATTTTGCTCCCCCATGAACCTTTCCAATACTTCTTTGACTAATTGACTTCCGTTAGTCTCATTAATCCGTAGAACGTGTGGCATGTCGACAACTTCAATTTCAACACAAACAATCAGATTCTAATACGCCTACCTACTGAACAACTTATCATCAAAAGTATAGCCGAAATTGGCTCTAAACTTCGAGTTCCATATCCGTTTTGGCTACCGAAAAACCAAACTGTTAATCGCACGAACATTTTATCCTTATCAACACGTCTACTGAGCCGCAACAGAAATGACGTACGAAACCGAGCTCAAGCACTTATTGTGACCAATGGTAACCGCCGAAGAACACAATCATAGAACTAAAAACAACAACAACTAAACAAAACTTGAAAATTCAAATTGGTATAGGGGATCGAAACGTGAACTCCCCCGCTTCCGCACGCCATCCATGTTAATGCTGGGTCCCGCTCAACCCGCGGAAAACGCACCGAAATGTCCCCACAGTATGACATTGAGCATCGCCGAGTATCGCCGCCGCCACGCGGCATCAGCTCCCGCCCAATCCGCACAGCATGTGCGCGACACACGCCAAAACGCGCGGGCGGGCGTCAATGTGTCCTCAAATGCGGCATCTCTTCTGCCGCCCATAAATAGATGCACTGTTCAAACGGATACACCGAACAGCATCCTTGCGCGTTGCATCCCAATCTCTTCTTGGCATACCCTGGCACCGATTCTTGCCTTCCCCAGTTTCCGTAACACTTCGGTACGTGGCGCTCCCAGACATGCCCCGCACCCTGATGGCCTATCTCACCTGACTCTGCGCGGGCCCAACCGATGACATACGCTCAAGCTGTTTTTTTATCCTCCCAGCATACATGACTGGTTCCAATTAACCCGCCTCCAATAGCGGATAGAAGGCTCTGCCTTGGCCCCCCCCGGATTTGCCACTACCCGGCACCGCTCGCGGTGTAAGTTGCGCACTTGCCACTCCCACCGGACTCTCCGCCCAGCGCTCCCCGGATGCATTCGTTCGCGCCTACTGAATGAGTGGCCTTTCTCTTCCGCTCAACCCACCAGCCCTTACACTCCGGCGCGAATGCAAATGCTCCTCTCCCTCTCCTATCCCTTTCACCGCGGCCCCCCCCCGCGACGGACCCCCCACCCCCCCCGCCCCCCCCAACCCCTAAATTTACAAAATTCTAAAACGCCACGTGATGCGGCCACGCAAACATGACCAGCACCCCACAGAAGGCTCGGCGCATGGCGCTGCTCAACACTATCGCCGCTCAGTTAATGCACGAGTCGACTCCATGGTGCTACCTTCTGAGATCAGAAACGGCCTACTTCGACATCCCCATCGAGCAATTCTGAATATGCGCTTCGTCTACTCTACTCTTCTTATCCAGCGCGCATCTCCAAGTTGCGCGCCACCGGCGCTGGCACCACGGCAAACCGTGCGTAAGCGTCGACTCTAACCGATCCCTCCCAAACTCTCATACGCGCCCGAACGTCCGACAGGAGGCTCTAGCGCCTACTGTTCGAGCCTACTCACCCACATACTTTCATTGACTAGGCGCTTATATAAGGTCTACACTGTATGCGTCTACGTAGATAATACAAACAACGCTTGGAAGACAGCCGCAGCCACACCTGCGCTAGTAAAACAGCCGGGCCTGAAAGCGCCCGACTCTCCCAGACCTCTCCTGCGAATCGCGCGATTCGCTAGCGTCCGCGGTCGCGCTGCGGTATCAGTCAATTGAGTGATTCACTGGCCGCGACGCGACCGCAGGCGCTAGCAAATCGCGCGATTCACAAAGTCTGAAATCGGCTCGTATAACTTCGAGACGTGTAAACGCGTCACACTCGTTCGCCAATGTTAAAGGAATCCTTTCACGGAGAAAAATCATGATTCTATTTCAGCCATAAATCACTGGCTTGAGACTTATACACGATAATAATGAAAAGAACAGAAATATTGCTTTTTGTTTTGGTAAAAAATTCGAAAAATCGAAAGGGCTGCTACGCGTTCGAATTGCCCACGGACGTCTTTCACGAATGCTGGCGACGGGGATGCTTCCACTTGGTTCTTGGAGTGCCTTCACTAGAAGCTCTTTCTGGCTTCTGCTTTATTGCATTCACATCTTACACTTCTACTCCATCCTATTCATCGATCGATTTGTCTCTACTCTCCGAAATCGCGCGCTTTAACCCGATTCTTTCATTGCGTCGCCTGATACGTAGCCGGCCAAAGGCCAACTTCTTTCCTCGCCTTTGGCTCCGCCCGAATTACCTTCGATTGTCCATAGAGTGTAGTTTTTGTACGTTTGTTTCTCTTCGGAAACCGAATCTTCATGCGTGAAACTTTGTGTGCTGTTTCCAGTGATCACAACTGACACATTCATGTAAGAAAGAATGCAAGAATTTTCCGCGAAGAATTCCTTTAATCACCTATTAGCGTAGCTTTAGAGACGGTGAAAAAGTATTTTGAGAAACAAGAGTCAGAAGATTCCAGTCTTTTTTCAAGCGAACTTATTTCAGCTTAATCAGTCTCCCATCTGCTTGCCCTGAAGCGGAACTGCACAACAGAGTTTATTAGTAGCTTATCGAATGTATTGCATGGTAGACAGTTCATTATCAGTGGATGTGGGAACGAGCTGATCTTGATACCAAAGATTAGTTTCATTAATATGGGTATGCACTGATCTATAAGTCGGCGCTTCTAGATTATGTGGGTTAAGACGTCGTGTTCGTACTGACTTATGTATCATCTAGCATATATTGAATCTCGAGTCTACGCTAGTGTTATGTTTTTGTTGTGGCCCGGTGTTTGAAGTGTTCAATTTGGTCATCTTGTGTATATTGCCTTTGGCATTCTCGCTTGTGCATATTTCTCCGTTCTTATGTTTGTTTAGAAACTCGCAACTAATCAATCGAAATTCTGTTGTTGTCCTCCTCGCATTGCTCATTTCTCTTTCGTGCTTCCAATGTAACCGTAATATTTATTGTCCTCTTTTTTTTTCTTCATACTAGGGAATTCTTTGGAATCTTTCAGGTTTCTAGATACTGTAGACGGGTTCTATTCGGTACAATGCTTTTAACAGCAATTGTGAAGTAGCGCATGACAAGCGCCAACTCCTAAACCTGGATGCTAGTGTGGT